TAAATTTAAATTTGAATTTTGAATTTTGAATTTTTCGCAATTAAAGACAACCGACAAATTAATTGGTACCGAAAGGGCGGTTCAATGGTGCTAATCCTTCCTTGACGGTAACCGACTCCCAAACCCGACACACTTCTAGTAAAACGCAGATCATGTAAGATGGTGTCCGACCTATCTAAATTCATTTTAAAATGGTCGGTGGCGACTCCCTAACCAATTATTCAAGTCGAACCCAATTTCGGGTCCAACCGAAAGACGTTCGCGACATAATGCATTATAAAAATTATGGGTTCTCTTGCCCAGACCCAAATACAGTCCTGCGGATACTGTTTACTTTCAGCGTGTAATTTGGTTATGATTAATAAAATGGCTTAAATATAAAATAAGTGCTTAAATTATAACTTTTTTCACGAATAGATGCATGTAGTATTTTTTTAAATGATTATGTGCCTAACATTACAAACGTCACCACTTTAAGTGCCAAAGTTGTAACTGTTGTTAGTTTTTCCCGTTAAGTGACACATGTCATACTCTAATAGTTTTGAATTTTTTAAATTAAAAATATTATTATATTTATAAAAAAAAACCATATTTTTTTCTAAAATTACAAAAACCCTAAAATCCCTAAATCTTAACCAAACATTAACCCCATTTCTATTTGCGACCACAACCACCACCTCCAATACCTCCCTTGCCATCACCGTAGTCGGAAAGCGTCGTCTTTTATGTGGAGTAGTTGTGGTCTTTTGATGGTCGTCGTTTCATCGTGTTCGTCGGGGTAGATTTCATCGCGATTTTATGGGTCTTCGGTTACTGTTATGGCTATTATTTGTCAGGGAATAGGTCTTCGGTGGAAGCATGTCTAGGTGGGAGTCCAATTGACGATAACAGCGGCGGCAGGCGGCGGGTGGTGATGGGCATGGGTATAGGGACTAGATTTAGGGGTTTCAAAGTTTTAGGGAGGTTTTTAAGATTTTTGAAAATGTGAGCTTTTTAATATATATATATATATATTAAGGTTTTTTAATAAAAATTTCAAAATTACCTGAGGGTGACATGTGATACTTAACGGAAAAAATTAACAGTGATTATTGCATGGACACCTAAAGTGGTAGCGTTTGTAACGTTAGATACCGAGATCATTCAAAAAATACTATAGGCACCTATTTGTGAAAAACGCTATAGTTTAGGCACTAATTTTATATTTAAGCCTAATAAAATCTTGAGTATTCTTTTCATCTTTCACTATCTTGATTGAATTACGGCTTGGTTGACGTATGAAGCTGTTTTTAGCGAGACATATTTTACTTTTTCAAAATAGAAAATATATAAATAATATTAAATAATATGAAAATTAAAATTTTCAAAAAAATTAATTTTCTTTTCAATACTCCTTTAATTTAAATTTGTTTAATGTATGGGTGAAAACCTTAATATTAGCACCAATAATTATAATTAAACTCTTCTTCATTGGAAAACTATTGTGGCGAAAGTAAAAAAGAAAGAGAACGGCTACCCCTGAGATTAATTAACTTGCATAGGACGTTTTACAGCAACGACTTGATCATATTCTGGACGCTTTTGAATTGCTTTCATTTCTCTTGAGAATTTAATGGCAAAGCGGCTCAATTTCCGCAGATTTATTTGAACCCATCCATGTTTCGAATATATTATAATTAAATTCTAAATTTTTACACGAATCAAATTATTATTTTAATAGTAAAAAAATTATTGTTATATTTCGAAGATCTAAATTCAAACACCTTAAATGTCAAATATGTAAGCATTAATATCGAGAGAACAAAGATTATCTTTAAAGAATATCACATTGTACTTATTCTTTATTAATAAAAAAAATTGAATTAAACAAAATCTTTTTTTCTTGACTTTTTCTTCTTCTTTGAAGTCGTACCTTTTGGGCTCCAACGAAGGACTTTTATCCTAATAGGCATGGATAAATACACGATGAATGTATGACGTGACCTTCCTCCATCTTCTTTTTATATTTCATTTTTCTATTATTTGTTTCATTTTTATTTAAAAATTTTCCATTTAAATAGAAAAAAGACATAAATTCAAAAACTTTCTATTAAATATGAAATCAAAATTCCATAAAATATGAATATATAAAAATTTCGATCTTCTTAAAAGTAATTTTATGAATGAATAGGTAAAACATATATTCTATTTATTTTATTTCTTTGGTATTTTGTATAATTTTATTCTTTCTTATCATATTAATGAAATCAAAAATAAATAATATTGTAATTTTCTACAATTCCTTTTAACTCTTAAAAAATAATTTTAACATGAATTATAAAATGTTCTAAAATTTATTTATAAAATAAATATTCAAATTATATATTTTTAATTAAGAAAATAATTTTTTAAACAATAATATAAACTCAAATTCTTTTTTCAAATTTTGACACATGTAATGATAAGTTAGATAAGAAAATAAGTTATAAGATTTAAACTCATAAAAAATAAATGTAATTTGAACAAATATTTATCAATTAAGTTTTGATTTTTAAAATAAGGTATGGTTTTGAAAAACAACTGATTGTTTAGGTACAGAAACAGATTAAAATTAATAGTTTAGGTACTAAATACTCAATTTACCCTAAAAAATGAAGATTTAATTTTTGTATTGCCACTCCCACCTCTAGTTTATTTTATGAGAAAATAACCTCAGTGACCAAAAATGTCTTATAATATACGATTTTAACCAACGTTTTTTGGATTTGCCAAAATGACCAACTAAATCGCAATGCGATCGATAATTCGCAACGTGATCTCCGGTATCGCAAATCAGTTTCCAGATTTGCAACGCGAACATCGACTATCGCAACGCGAACTTCGACTATCGCAATGCGATTTTCCAAATTCGTTGCGATAGTCCAAGTTCGCGTTACGATTTATTACAAATTCGCGTTGCGATAGTCCAAGTTCGTTGTGATAGTCGAAGTTCGCGTTGAGATTTATTTCAAGTTCGTTGCGATAGTCGAAGTTCGCGTTGCGATTTATTCCAAATTCGTTGCGATAGTCGAAGTTCGCGTTGCGATTTATTCCAAGTTCGTTGCGATAGTCGAAGTTCGTGTTGCGATTTATTCCAAATTCGTTGTGATAGTCGAAGTTCGCATTGCGATTTATTCCAAGTTCGTTGTGATAGTCCAAAATCGCAACGACTAATGGTATTACATTTGTTTCTTAAGAATTTTCTCTAAAAAGATAGTATTCGCGCGGACGTGTCGAAGACACGTATTACCACGACCACGACCCGAGACGAGACGAGACGGACGGCGCGCGCGCGAGAGTCCCCCTTGTTCTCTATCACTCAACAAGGAAGTGGGAAAGCCAAGCCTTAAATACCATTCCCAATAGTGTTTCCAATACTATGTCGGATTGAGCATTACCAACACTTGTTCCCAATACTATGTGGGATTGAGCCTTAAATAGTGATATTATTTGTGAATTATAGTTAATGACTTTAGTATTTGTATGAAAAGTATTTGTGGTTCGTTTAGTTTTAATGCAATTCTAATTTATTTTCAATTGATTGTAAGTGCACGATAACAATTTTTTTTATTCTCGCGAGTGATGCAATTTTTTTTGAATGTTTTGCTTAAAATTACAATAATCGCTATTGATTGTAGATTGACTTTTAATTATGACATATTTAATCGTATAATACTAATGCAATTGGTTGCTGATTCAGTTGTTTTAAGGTGCATGATTGTTAATTGTTTCCTGAATAATCACATAGTATTGGAAACAAGTGTTGGTAATGCTCAACCCCACATAGTATTGGAAACACTATTAGGAATGGTATTTAAGGCTTGGCTTTCCCACTTCCTTGTTGAGTGATAGAGAACAAGGGGTACTCTCGCGCGCCGCCGCCACCGTCGTCCGTCTCGGGTCGGGTCGGGTCGGGTCGTGGTCGTGGTCGTGGTAATACGTGTCTTCGACACGTCCGCGCGAATACTATCTTTTTAGAGAAAATTCTTAAGAAACAAATGCAATACCACTAGTCGTTGCGATTTTGGACTATTACAACGAACTTGGAATAAATCGCAATGCGAACTTCGACTATCGCAACGCGAACTTGGACTATCGCAACGAATTTGGAATAAATCGCAACGCGAACTTCGACTATCGCAACGAACTTGGAATAAATCGCAATGAATTTGGAATAAATCGCAACGCGAACTTCGACTATTGCAACGAATTTGGAATAAATCGCAACGAACTTGGAATAAATCGCAACGCGAATTCGACTATCGCAACGAATTTGGAATAAATCGCAACGAACTTGGAATAAATCGCAACGCGAACTTCGACTATCGCAACGAATTTGGAATAAATCGCAACGCGAACTTCGACTATCGCAACGAACTTAGACTATCGCAACGAATTTGTAATAAATCGCAACGCGAACTTCGACTATCGCAAATCAGTTTCCAGATTCGCAACGCGAACTTCGACTATCGCAACGCGAACTTGGACTATCGCAATGCGATAGTCGAAGTTCGCGTTGCGAATCTGGAAACTGATTTGTGATACCGGAGATCGCGTTGCGAATTATCGATTTGCGATACCGGAGATCACGTTGCGAATTATCGATCGCATTGCGATTTAGTTGGTCATTTTGGTAAATCAAAAAAAAGTTGGTTAAAATCGTATATTATAAGGCATTTTTAGTCACTGAGGTTATTTTCTCTTATTTTATTTATGTTACCACTAGCACTTGTCAATATCACTGCCAATGAATTTTATTTTATATTTTTCTCACGCCATTGATAAACGAAAGGGAGTATATAATTAAATTAGTTTCCCAGAACGTAACAAAGACACATTCCTATCTTCCAATCATATCATATATAAAACTCAAACAGATAGTCTTACAAACTAAATCTTCCTCGAAAAGGCTACACTATCATTTATGGACTATGATGTTACATTTCCAAATAGGAAAAATGTTATTAGCAATATTCCGAATAACGTTTAAAAATGAATAAAGATCCACAATTTATTAGTATTTATTCTTATCATTCTATTTTCTAGGTACAACGAGGCATGTTGGATGGAGGTGGTCGAATGCTCGTCTCCGTCGTAGTTCCATTCCTCACAATGAAAACAGTGTCCATCCCCCAACTGCTATGCCTCTCGAAATGACAATGCATAAACCATACCCCTGAAAAAAACATACACAATTCATCTTGATTTCATGTTTATATGTCATTCGTTTATATTCGATTATTTTGAATTCGGATTTTTCGAATTAAAAAGACAATTTTTTTGAAAACTTACCGGGATTGTCTGCAAAAAATCTGAGGGCAACCCATCCTCTACCAGGAACGTGGACAGTGTTAATGAGTGGTGGGTCAACCAGGTTATAGGTGCTTGGGTCAGTCTGATTGTTAAAATTTCCAGAACCACTTCCTACCCAGTAGAAGCTGAAACCATGCAAATGGATTGGGTGACTTCCACCAGCACCGAGCTGGGTTGCTTGGAGCACAATCTCCACTGCATCGCCGTAATTTAGCATAACAGCCCTCGTCCCTAATTCAGCTGCCGGATTGAGAAGAGTCAAGTTTCCGGTGAAATCATAGAATACAGGTGGATTGAGGGGAAAATCTTGGGTGAAAACACCGGTGGTCCTGTTGTAGTATGCTTGGAGAATGTCAATTCGTGGGAAAACAAAGCTGACATTGTTCATACTCGCAACTATTCTGTTTTGTACAAGACACTGTGAGGTGTTGCACGGTATGTTGTTCGTGGCGATTGCGATGTACACTCGTCGATTGATTTCCGAATCCGTTGGCACATTCAGTGGCGGGTTCTGCGTGACATTTATGTTTCTAATTCGCCTGACGAAGCTGTTAGTAGCATTCGTATCGTTTCTTGCAGGTAGATTGATCAAGGAAGCATTCAATCCACCCGCACTGTTTGAATATTCAAAAACACCAGTAGTAATGAAGTCAACAGGCAAAGCCGCGGAATCAGAGAAAGGCCTAGTAGCCATGTAATATTGGCCGGCGTTTTGGTTGGCGAAGACCAAAACGTCCATGGTTTGTCCGGGGCTTATCAATATATAGTCGCTCGTAAACCTTGCGACGTAGGAGGCGTCTTGTGCGACGACGGTGAGGGTGTGGTTCATGATGGAGAAGAATTTCTCTTCGTTCATTGCAGAATTGATTATCCGGAGATGGTACGTCTTCTGAAAATCAACTTGCATACGAAACATTGTATCTGCAACAACAAATTCATAAGCTGTTAGTTCTGTTTACATTAAAAGAGTACGAAAACTCGATTTGAATACGGCAAAGCTAGAACGTACCATTGGGACATCCGGTTGTGTCTCCTAAATTCCCATTGATAGCATAAGCATCCGGTTGGCGAGGAGGTATACCGGTTGCAAGTGCTTGATCGATAATCTGCTTGTAGTCTCCATTGTACCATGATTCTGCCCATACATATAGTTGAAAATTGAAATCAAATTATGATTCGTATAATTATATATAACTAACACAAACGAAATGTTGAAAGATATGCTTACGAAGCATGATTGTTTGGTCGGCATCCGGTGTCGGGAACGGATAAGTTTCGTTCTCGGCCGGTAAAATGATAAAGGCTCCCTGGACGGAACCGCGAGTCCAGTCGCTGTGTGCATGCCACCAAAGGGTTCCTATTTCGTCCGATAATACGACTTCGTATGTGAAGTTGGTCCCCGGTTGAATTGGGCATTGAGTTATGAACTCGGGACCATCGGACCATGGATTTCTCGGTTGTTTCACACCGTGCCTGCAGCAACATGATTCATTTAATCACTTCTTATTTCGATTCTTCAGGAAATTACCATTGGAAAAAGAAAAAGTCAATTACCAGTGAATGGTAAAACCATAGTTTCCTTGATTGTGGACATTAACGAAGACAGTATCACCTCTATGAACACGAATCTCTGGCCCAGGATAACTGCCGTTTACAACCAGCAACGTTGTCGTATTGCACAGTTTCGTAAAGTTTGCCTCTCGCACCTACAATAATTTAAGACCTTTACTTATTTAGAGAAAAAAAAATCAAGTAAGCATACGCTAAAAGAAAGGGAAAGAAAGGCACTGACGAAGAATTCATAGTTATGCACATCAGCACTGCAAAGGAGCAAATTGCTGAGAAACAAAACCCCAGCAAACACCAAACATTGATTCACTAAACCCATCTCTAAAGTGTTCTTAGTTCTCCCCTGTTGTCTTGTCTTTGTGTCCTAAAATTCAACAATTTATAGTGGAAAAAGGAGCTTGTGCTCCCAAGTTTCTCACTTGAAAATTATAAAACGAATCTTCTGAGATGTATGTATAAAAAAGTAAATTGCATTTTATTTTTCAGTCAAAAAAAATTACACGTCACATGCTTTATTCCAGATAAGCATTTGAAGTCAGACCTTATATATATATATATATATACACACCCATACACGTAGAGGCTATTTCAATATTAAATAATCCGACAAGAGAGGTTTCTTGTTAGCGTCAAATTTTAGTACCTAAATCTTGTGGATTATACGTTACAGCTAATCAGAAAATGCAAACACAGCCCATGTTTATAACAATATTTCGTTATTGTTGTTTTCATTGTCTTATAGTTTTTCTAATGGAAAATGCGTATACTTTGTTAATTTGGATGTTTGCTCCTTCCTTAATTAATAAATTAGTAAATTCATTCCATTACTTTAAAAACTTAAATAAAAAATGTGAAATGACTAATATAAACTATCAACAATTGTTGTAATAGGTCAAATATTGACCCCAAAAATATTACCTGCTCCGTTTGTCCTTAACCCTAACAAGGTTTGAGAGTTGGTAATGTAATAAGGATCTCAATGTTATATGATTGTTTTTATAATACATTAGATCAAGTCAGGTCGGGTTTAGAAAAGTGTAATATTGGGTGAGGTTAAGTTCGAATTTAGAGTTCGGATCCAACTCGAGATAATAATATAATTTTTTTTCTATATATTTAAGGATATTTACTATTGTAGCCCTCTATGTTTCTTTTCAATTAGGTCGTATTTTACAAAATAAAAATTATAAATTTTTTTTATTCGAGTTGAATTTCAGTTTGTGTGAAACTTCTTTAAAAAAGATATAATACTCCAATTAAATTTGATCGTATCAAAAACTCGACCCAATCCGTTCCATTACCATATGTAATTAATATTTTCTAAGTCTCTAACATGTTGCACATCAATCAAATATTAAATTGCGGAAAATGTGTAAATGCATACTATATAATATTCGAAAGTTTACCAACTAAAGCAATTGCATTTGTATGACTAGTGGCATTGCATGGACCCGAATTAGGTAACAAAGAATTTAACCGAAAAGAAATGCAAAACCAGTTGATGAGAACCACAGATTGAAGCGACTATGGAGAAGAAATACTATTTTCCAACAGAGATAATGGTAGTGGGTTTGAAATTTGTAACTTAAGAGATGATCGGCCAGCCATGTGCGACTTTGCGGGTCTTCTAAACGCGTTCTCTAGAAATGAAGCAAATTGGTTTCTTACAATCCCAGAAAATGAGTTGCACCACAATACAATTGAACTGATCCAAGCTAGTTCGGTAGCCAACAATGTTTGAATTTTCTCCAAGTCTTCCACGATTTTAGCCCCTGATTAACTTAAAACGTTTTCTTTACGATTGATTATTAGATCATTGTTTAATATAAGATGTTTGATTTTAACTAAACACGTCCAATTTCATACTCTTCTCTATCATTGAATAGAACCATCTATTGCTTTCCCAAAGGTTGACATTAGACAATCGTCGTATTTTAAATGGTAAACTCTTTGACTCCACATTTTGGGGGTAACGGTCCAGAAATATTTGACAAAGATATCATCTTTATCTATTGTCCGTTGACTTTTATTTTGTAAATCACTTTTTGCTTCTTTCAATTTTTATGTCAATATTTTTATAATTTACAATTAATACATTTTAAATATTTACTATAGGCATACTACTCGTTTATTTGAAGTTGTAAGTAAACGAAAAATATATATTTATAATTGTAAATAATATATTTTAATAAAATATGACATTATTGAAATATATATGATAAGACTCGAATTTAGATTTAAAATTTTCAAGAACTTAATATGGACATGCCTTAATAAAGGCTTAATATTTGCTACTCATCGTTGTTAAGTTGAAAAATGCCTTGTAAATTACTATAGAAAAGTTATGTGGAAGGTGTGGTTTAAAGGCATCAAATGTTTCTAAACAATGACTTGGATTTTAAGTTGGTCCCCTAACTTTAAAAGATTTTAATTAAACTTTCAAACTATTCCTATTGTTTTAAATATGTTTTTTTTTTGTTAATTTTTGTCTATCCATTTACTTAAACATTAAATGTCATATGAAATCTAACATGGGATATAGATAAAAATTTAAACACGTGTTCGATCAGTCAAATTGTTCATCTTTGTCTCCTCATATTCTCTTATGTCATGGATTCTAGACTCACTAGAAGTACTCTCTTCCATTCTTCTAAAGTCCCTCTTTTTCCTCCCATTTAGGTAAAATTAATAATAGATTTAGGTTTGTAAAAAAAAAAGTCATGTTTAAAAAATATAATGTCATTGTCGACACTAGTTTTTGTCCCGTTCCAGTTATTAATATTATTATTACTACTACTATTATTATTATTATTATTACAAGCCCAATACAACAAATTAGGCCCCAAATACAAAACAAAATATAGAGGCCCATTTACAAGAACCCGGAGGTCCAGACCTAGATTCAATTCGGAAGCCCAACAAGCAGATCCAGGCCCAAACCCGATTCAGGCCCGAATGATTCAAGCATGAGAAACCCAGCTAGGGTTTTTTCATTTTCTCCAGCCGCCAGTAATCCTCAACCGTCCGATCGAAAGGGAGATGAATAGCCCAGATGAAGCTTCCAGAAACCCTAGGGTTTCATTACAACCTAGGGCTATTCCGGCCGCCTCCTCAAAGTGCTCCACTCCGATGCTGCCACACCACCACCGCCTCAACAGAAGACTCCAGAAGAAATAAGGATGACCACACACCTCACAACCCTAGGGTGAGTCACCACTATAGCTTCGGTGACTCACTGGGGTTCACTCTATTAATCGGTCTGAGATGAGTACCAAAGAACCCTATATATAGGGTCAAACCTGCAAGAGAAAAAAACACAGCAACGAGAGAGGAGAGACACGGACAAACAGATGAAACAAGTGATAGAGAGAAAAAAGAGAGACAGAGGAGAAATCAACCAACAGAGAGCAAACTGTTGAGTTAATCGATCGACGAATATGGCCAAGAGGGGGGTGAATTGGCAATTTAAAATTTTGGTGGAAGCTTTTGTAGAAAATTGAAAGTAATTGCGCAGCGATTTATAGTGGTTCGACTTTCTCAACCAAAGTCTACGTCCACTACTTTAGCTATCCACACTAAGGATTTTCCACAAATTCACTAATTTGTCTTTCTTTTGAGGATAAAGTGTAACCTTACAAATCCCTCAAGAATTATACCCCAAATTCTTGAGATCACTCTATCCCAAAGAGAACAATACAAATTTTGCAAACTTACAAGAAAATCCTCACAATGCAAGATGTTTGCACAATTCTAGAACAAAGAAAGAACACTCAAGATAATACAATTGAGCACAATAAGTGTTCTTGAAAGCAAAAATGAATATTGAATGAAATAGGCTTGAAAATGCTCAAACTTGAGGTTTGATACTTTCTCTTTGATTCTCTCTTGATTCTTGTTGATTCTTGTTTCTTGTTGTTGATCAATGGCTTCTAAGCTTGGTTAAATACTCCTTCAATTGATTCTAAACGTTGGGGATGATTAGTGGAGTCAATAGAGCCGTTCAAGTGTGAAAACAATTAATAAAACAGTTGGGAGCATCTGGTGCATAAATGCATAAGGCTAGTGCATCGGTACGCTATGTGTAAAATTCAAATATTTCGACCGTTGGACCCTTAGTGCATCGGTGCACTAAGAGTGCATCGATGCATGAAGTGCATTCGATGTTTCAAACAAGCCAGAGTGCATCGATGCATGGTCTGTGCATCGATGCATAAAATGCATTCGATGTTTTCATAAAACCCTGAGTGCATCAATGCATGGTATGTGTATCAATGCATAAAATGCATTCGATGTTCAATTTATTCAATGGTGCATCGATGCATGGATTGATGCATCGGTACACTCTTTTGAAAAATTGATTTGAGGCTCGTTTTTGGTTCGAAATACCTTGTGAAAATTGTTTAAAAAATAGTTTAAGTATAAAACACAATTTTACACATTATTAAGGATTTAAATTGAACTTTGAAAGACTTGGAGTAATATTTTGATATTCGAGTAATTAAATCGAATATACTTAGAAAATCATTTGTAAAATCTTAAAATTCATTTATACTTAATTTGTTATATCGAAACATCAAAATGTTTCCAACAATCTCCCCCTTTTTGATATAACAAAACATTTGTGTAATTTTAATATTTTCTTTTAAAATAAATTTTGAAATTACTCCCCCTTACTCTAACACTTCTCCCCTATAACACTTTTACACTTCTCCCCTTTTTGTTAAATCAAAAAGACTTTAAAACGTTTTAAACAAGGTTTTGAAAAGCTTAGTCAATTGATTTAAAATATATATATATCTTAAGCTACTAAGATCAAAGATCAAGACAAAGGTTAGTCAATAGTTTCATAATTCAATATTCATAAACATGTAATGGATAATTGGTCATATATGTCTAATGATGCAAAAATAAGTATTAATAAAAAGAAAATTCAAACCAAACATATATATATATATATATATTAATATCTAATATCTAATATCCAAAGCAACCAAAATATAAATCCAAACAAATTTCAAACATCCAACAATCCAAAAGCATTCAAAATGTTTTAACAAGTAAAGTTCTAAGTTGATCCAAAACAAAAACAAAGCAAGGTCTACTCGTCCATAGAAGGATCGGGAGGAGGAGGAAATCGTGCTTTCATCTAAAGAGTAAGAGCATCCATACGTGCAAGCATCTCCCTTTGAAACTCCATTTGTTGAGCTTCCAAAGTGTTTAAGCGATGATTCACCGCTTCGTTGTTTGCAGTTAAATGGGATTCGATGGAAGCAAACCGTAGATCAAATGTCTCCAAAAACGAACGGAAATATGGAGGCACTTGATCCTCTTGTGGTGTT